TGGCATGTCCTCACATTCTACGTCTCTAGGACAGTGCTTTGGGTGGTTGATTGTCTTCTGGGCTTCTTTTGGGTTAGCTCGCATAAGTGTTGAAACTGTCTGACCCGGTGGTCGTGAGTCTGCGTATTTTATTTGACCAGTTTGCTTTGCCTTCTCCACAGGAGATTTTATTTATTTATTGTTCTTTTCTTTAGTTAATGGGTAGCCCCGAACCCTTCTATATGCATTTGACTACAGGACTTCCATCTCATCTCTGTTTATTAAGGTATGTATTTGTCTACCACTCAGTCACTTGGGCTAGGTGTTCCTCCCGCCTCCCCTCTTTTGTTTTCACCTGGCCCGGGCTGTTGAGCGAGGCAGCTTGACCTTGGCTTCCTTGACCCACCTGCCTGATACTTCCCGGCAAGCCAAAAAAAGTGTTTTCTTTTTTAATTATCATTTTTAAAACTTCATGTTGAGCCTTCATTGCACCCACCAAGATATGCGCAAGTACGGCCCCTTGTCTCTCAAGGGGAGTTTGAAGAGTGTAAAAGAGGGGTTGATCTTCGAAGGCGTTCAATGGCCCTATTGCTGCGTACCATAGTTTGCAGTTTTTTTTTTTTTTTTCGTGTTCTCTTTTCAATTTAATAAGCTGCGTACAGTGTAGTACATACTACATACCATTTTTTATTTTATTTTTATTTTATTTTTTTCGGGATGTGCTATTTTCTGATTTAGTAAGGTACTCTGAAGACACTCTCAGGGAAAAGTTGTTTGAAAAAAAGATGAAAAAAAAAAAAAAAAAGTTGTTTGATGGGCAATTCTGCATAACAATTTGTTTTTTCAACTGTTTTGCTAGGCTACCAGAGTGGCCCGGGGTCACTTGCCCGGCCGGGCCAAGAAGATTGAAAAAATAAAAAATAAAAAACTTATATTAAATTTTTATTTTATATTTTAAATTTGGTAAAGATTTTTTTTATGTGACCCTGAGGCAAACGTTGTTTGGATTTTTTGGATTGTTTTTTTTTTTTTTTTTTGCTGGGAACTTCCCTTGTCTTTGCACGGGCTGGCCACCTTGGACCCCGGCGGCCCGGCTGGTAGCCTAGCTGTTTTGCTGTTTTTTTTTTTTTTGCTTTTTTCTTTTTTCGTGCTGGGCGTGGCCTGTCCTGGCATTTTGCCCTTGCCCCGGCCTGGCCTGTCCTTGCATTTTGCCCTTGCCCGGGCCTGGCCTGGCTTGGCATTTTGCCCTTGCCCGGGCCTGGCCTGGCTTGGCCTGGCAATCCGGGCAGCCAGAGGCAGACAGCTTCAACCGGTTGGTAGCTCAAGTTTATAGACTTAGTAATGATCAACAACCTTTGTCTGGCTAGCGCCGCTAAACTTTTTTTTTTTTTTTTTTTTTTTTTTTTTTTTTTTTTTTTTTTTCGTCCTTGTCAAACTCGAAGTCTCACAACTGTCTACTGGCACTATGACCCCCGAAATTTAATTTAAACCACCAGTCCATCGGAGGCTAAATTGCCGAACCAAAAAGTGCATTTGTCCGAGCCTGACATCTACAGTGACCGCAGATTCAACCACGCGGGACATGGTACCGGTACCAGCAACATGTGTGACAAAAAGGAAAGGCAAGCAGGCAGCCCTCATCATTGCACCCTGCCTGTCCGTTTTGTTTGGATTTGTTTTTTTTCGAATTTTCTGTTTGTCTGCCTTTTTTTGTGGGGTTGCATTTCTTTTTCTTTGCTTTTACAGGGCCACGTTCTTGAGGTATCATCATTGGAAAAAAAAAAACAAAAAAAAAACGAGGTATCATCAGTGAGAGCAACAGGTATTTCCGAATTATGTCTATGGGACCTGGATTCGAACTTAGGGCTGTATTTCAAGAGTTCGTGGGTGTACCAACGGAGGTCATACTCCAATTCTTGTTCTACTAAGCTCTGGACGTGATCGCAGTCAGATTCATCGAGGTCTGACCGTAATTTCAGTCAGATACATTCCTACTGTGAGTCTGCCCTGATCTATGTCTGTGGGCTCTTTCCTTTGCTTTGTTTCGAATGCAGCTGTCCGCCCTGCGACTTGACATGCAGTTTTTTTTGTCTTTTTCTGTTGATATTTTTTTTCCTTCCTTTTTATTTAGATTCGAATGCAGCTGTCCGCCCTGCTGAGTTGGCATGCAGTTTTTTTTTTTTCTTTTTCTGTTGATATTTTTTTTCCTTCCTTTTTCTTTAGAAAGGGCCACGGCCTTGAGGTGTCATGATTGCACTTCCCTAGCCAAAACGCTGAGAAAGTCTAGACATAATCTTATGGCAGATGGACTCGAACTCCGGTCTGCATTTCAACATTTCTTGGGTGTACCAACTGAGGAACAGCAGTCCGCCCTGCTGAGCTGGGAGGGCGGTTTTCACGGAAACGACGGGGCATCCAAAAGCTTGCAGAGTGTGCCTAGTGCGGTGTGGCTGTCACACAGTGGCACTCTCTTTCAATTGTGGGCCCTCCAGCCCCACCCCCACCAAGCCTCCTCCATGCCTGATCACTGTAGATTTTGGTCTGGTACTTGTCGACAAAAAAAATGAACAGTACAGGGGGTGATGGACTGGTGGTTTAACGTGCCTAAGGCAGACCTGTTTTTTCTTTTTCTTTTTTTTTTTCTCGTATTTTAATAATTTTATATTTTATGCTTTCAAGTTTCAAGTTTCAAGTTTTAACTGATGTTAAAGAAATTGGACCGTTTCTTTATTTGAACGTGCGGATTGTTTTGCTTTGGCTCTTGGACTCTTGTGTGTGTTTCGCCTGGGCCGAGGTCCTACTAGCGAAGAGGATTGGATTGAGCTCCTGAATGTGGACGTGTTTCATTCAGAGATGCAGAAAAGGCTGAAAAGCAAATCATAAGAGGTATTCTGCACCTTTGCACGAACGTGTCCAGATTCAGGCGTTGTTCAATCCAATCCTCTTCGGCAGTGGGACCTCGGCCCTGTAGCTCCTCCTTGGCTGTGGGTGTTCGTGTCTTTTCTTTTTTTCTGATTTTAAGATGTGCCCCCTGACCACCCGAATGTTTATTTAATTTGGCCCCAATGCCCAAGCCCTACATCAAAACGTACTTCCCAAGCCTAGCTTAGCTGGTAGACCCATGGACTGTCGAAACTTGAAATGCAGAGTCAAGTCCGAATCCAGATAATATCAGATGCATGGGGTCGGTCGATTCAATGATGATATCCCAAGGCTGTGGCCCAACAAAAAAAAAAAAAAAAAAAAAAAGCATTCTGGGAGGCTGTGTAGCACCCTGTCCGTGGATCGGCGGAGAATGTGAGCTAAAAATCACAACGAAAAAAAAAAAAACTAAAAAAAAAGTTATAAACATCATTAAAGAAACAAAGTTCTAAAAATCATTAAAAAAAAAAACTTAAAAAAAATAAAAATAAATAACCCCCATGTATGGGAGTACGTACGTATTTGTGAACACACCGGAATCATCGGAATGTGTGTTTTCTGGTGTTAATGAAACCGGCCAAATCATTAAAAAGCAAATTATTATTATTTTTTTTTTATAAATAACCCCCAAATGTATGGGAGTACGTACGTATTTGTGAACACGCCAGAATGTGTGTGTTCTGGTGTTATCGAAACCGGCCAACATGTTCTCTGCGCTACGCAGCTGGGAAGATGTGTTGGTTTTGTATGTTTGGCTTTCGCTTTTCACTTTTGTTCATTTTCTGTGGCTGTAATCGGTTCCGGTCCTAGTTGGTGAGATCCTTGACTTTGGCTATGTGAGTACTATGGCTGTTTGACTCACTGTGGCTATTTGACTGACTTTGGCTATTTGAGTGCTTTGGCTATTTGAGTCGCTTTGGCTATTTGGTGAGTTAATTTAGAATATCACAAGTGGATTAATTTGGAGAAAATTGCCAGAATCGGTGAGAAATGCATTCCACTTTGTAAGTTTATTAAATTTATTTATTTCTGTTTATGGGGGGCGGGGGGAGGGGAGGAGGAAGATTTGGGGGAAGTGGACGAGCGCGGGGAAAAGAGGAGCAGAGGGTCACGAGATGGTTGCCAAGAAGAAGAAGAAGAAGAAGCGGTGAAGGGGGAGAAGAAGAAGAAGAAGAAGAAGCGAAGAAGAAGAAGAAGAAGAAGAAGAAGAAGAAGAAGAAGAAGAAGAAGAAGAAGCGAAGAAGAAACGAAGAAGAAGAAGAAGAAGACGGGTGGTGAAGGATGGTGGGCAGGGGGGCACGAAACGTGGGTGAAGAAGAAGAAGAAGGGCAAGAAGAAGAAGAAGAAGAAGAAGAAGAAGAAGAAGCGCAAGACGACGACGAAGAAGAAGAAACGGTGTTGGCGGGATTTGTCGGAGTTGCCGTCGACAAATGGTGACGGAGGGATGTGTCGTGCGGGGGAGGGAACGGGGAGACATGGCGGGGGGGAGTGTTCGTGTGGGGGGGGGAATGGGGGCCAGCAGGCCTGCCCTCATCGATTTCAAATTGCTGCCCCTCTGGGCCGTCGATCTTTGAGATCGACTGCCCAGATTGGTCCTGATTTGAAATCGGTGAAATCGGGGCCTACCGGACCTGATTTTTTTTTTT